CCCGCCGCCGAGCAGCCAGCAGCCGTTGAACAACCAGCAGCAGCCGAACAGCCAGCTCAGAGCGCACAGTAAATTGGTCTAAGTGATAGCGATGCAGGCCAGTTGAAGCCGAAATGACTGCATAATCGAAAAGTCTTATAAGAGAACCCTAGGGGAAGCCAAATAAGATGTTTTATGAATTTGTGTAGAGATTTGGAAATAAAAAAATTAGTATTGCAAATATATTATCAATCTTTCACAACCAATTGAAAAGTATAAACATTTTTAGGCAGATCTTATAACTASATATAAAGAAAAATTATTTTCTCCTTCACGGCGGCGATAGCTAGGGCAAGTGGCATAGCATAATAACGAAAAAGATGTTATCCCTCAATTTTATTTTATTTCCGAGAGTAAAGGGTGATCCAATTCGAGGTTCCCTACTTTTTTAAAGAAATAACACAGAAACTTTACGGAGAAAGAACGTTCTTTGGAATTTATTTATTAAAGATTATCTCAATTGTTGGGCGGAGCTACGTCTCAAATTGTTCCTCTGTTGAGTCCAATATTCGACTCGTTCGAGCATGAGGATTGTTAACTGGCGAATAATAGACGTGGCGTTTTACTACAAWATCTAAATCGAAGCGRKATTGTCCGTATAGACTTTAAACTTTACATATYCTTACAAGAAAAATTTTAACGATGTGATATCACACGATCTTGTTGGCCAATTGAACAGCTCAAAACGCGAAATCATCTGCTCTCCGAAGTGTTCTCTAAAAAATGCATTGTGGAAAGTGGCGCAGTCTTGTTGAAACCAATTGTCGGAGAGATATGAACGGATGATTCCACCGGCTCGCAAACCACACCAAACTTTAATTTTTTCTGGATAAGTTGGCAGATCTTAAATCTCTTCAATTTGTTCGATGTCGACAATGCAACAATTTTGCTTGTAAGGCTAGAAATAGGACTCGTCACTGAACAAAATTTGGCTCGAAAACATTGGCCCTTCTTGGAACTTTTCAAGATACCATGGAGCGAAGCGAAGTCCCTTTCAATTTAAAATCTCGATGTAAAATACGCCAAGTCGTTCCATACGTCAATCCGAGTCACAGCAAATGGCGCCGAAACGACATTATTTACAGAACGTGGATTTTCGTAAAAAAGTTGAACAATTTGTAAACGTTTTTCAGGCATAATTCTTTCCACGATAAAATAAAATTACAGCTTGACACGACACACCCTTGATCTTTCAAAAAAAACAAAAGGTTATTGAAATAACTCTACTTGGATCTACCTTTATATAGTATACCATATCAGTATACTTATATTAGTATATAATTGTCCGTTATGTCTTTGCGAGATGTTTCGATGAGGTCCTTCATCCATTTATTGTGACCTGCCTAATGTCTGTGGAACTAAGAACTGTGGAAATACCCTCAAAGCTATAACTTTGCAGTCCGAGAAATAATACTTATTGAAAAAAAAAACGAATATTTTTGATGATTTTCRGAAGAGGGGTAAGGCAGCACGCACAGCTTCAATTTGTCATTGAGAACGCTAAGTACTCCAAACTCCGTCTTTAGAAGTCTGAGCTGAAAACTGGAAGGAAACCGTGCTTCCGTAGCATAAATTGAGGCAGACACTTGAGTATGTATGTCCATATCACTTACCTTTCCTACACCTGCTTGAAAAATGAAAACCTCACTTGTTTCTTTATAAAAGCAATTTTTATTACATTTTCGCTATTGTTATTGTTGTTTGGTTATTTGTATATTTSTGTGTGTTTTGTATAAGTGTTCGTATGTACGGTGTAAATATGTTGAATGTTGTTWTGGTGCAGCATTTCAATACTAATTTTGCTGCTGCACAATGTATTTTGCAAATGCACAATTTGTTGTATTTGTATTTTATAATAATTTCTATGTTATACAATTGTTTCACTGAATACTTTGAGGTTTTTTTYTTTAATTTGCAGGCAAGCTTTGTTTTATCTTTAGTAATATGTACTTTATTCTATTTTTGTATTTTGCTTTTGTGTGTTTTTTTTCTTTAATTACGTTCAGATAAATGTAATCACTCAATATTTATTATAAATTTCATTGATGTTGTTTTTGTTTTTTATTTTGCATATTTTTTGTAATGGTATTAACATCAAGCGTGTGTGTCTGTCCATTTGATTGCGTTGCTTTTAGCGTGAATCAATTCTTTATGTGGCTGCTTTGCATATTGTATATGTAAATTAATTTTCTTTCATAATTTTTATGTTTTTTTATATTTTTATGTTCTTGGGTAGTTTATTATGTCTGTCCAATTTGCTTTCATTGTTTGCTGCAGTTACATATTATCGATACCATTTTGAGTTTTCGTGTATCGAACATATATTTGTGTGAAAACAGTTCCAACATTTAAGGGAGAACAATACTTGTTTATCTTTAAATTTATTTTCTAACATTTTGCACAATAATTTAGCAAACTTTTARATGTACAAAGAAAAGTTGGTTGTCGCTGTTTTTACCAGTTATCGTTTGGTCGATATAAGCAGTTTTTTTTTTTGTTAGTAACTGTACATATATATTTGCGATAACTGAGGGAGGATGAATGAGCTGAAATCCATTTAGAAATTAGAATGTTCTCACTATAGTATAAAAGGAAAGAAAGGARATAGAAAGTTCTCACTGTAATATATTCTGGGATTTGAGCATAAGAAGTTGTTCTCTCGCCCCTAAAAAGTGTATGCCTTTTATTTCAAAACCCCGTTTGTTAGCATAAGCTAGTGGCAATTTTTTTATATTTTTAGAACACCCTGACGACTTCGTTTTAACCTCTAATTAGCTGCTCCAGTTCTTCTTGGCCATTCTTATGTAATGTGTGGAATTCACTTCCTTCAGTATGACGACTTACCTATGATCCGACCTACGAGAACTCAATCTATGAAAACAGAAGCACTCGAAATCCAAAGATTTCCTTTAGTCCACCAYTCAAGCACAGAAAAGCTTATCTCGTTTTTAAGCCAATAGGTCATSGCTTACTTATATCTAACAATACTGCTTTAGTCTATAAATGTTTAAGTCCAGAACTAGCTCATCGCTCCACCTAACATACCGAACACACATATATAGCCGAAACTCAACCTCACTTTTACTATAACCGAAAACTTTGTGTTTATAATCATTTCCTCCGTGTACTTAATGTTAGTTAATTTCATTTCATATTTTCTGATATGCAAGGATCAAGATTTCCAMTCTAAAACAAAGTAGTTTCTAATTATACGAACAGTTCACAAATAATACACCTCATTTCAAGGACTTTACGCAATTCGTTTTACTAGCACATAAAGTAATTACAGTTATCTTTTAAAGTATGTCGATATTTAGTGTTTTACAACTTTTATTTATTCCTTTTTTATCATGTTTTTTTTTTTTTTTT